ATAGTACTTATAACTTTTAAATAAGAAATGAAATATTTTAAGAAGCCGTCCCAAAAATCCACCCCAATTGTTTCAGATTTTTTCCACTTTTTATTAAATGCCCGATGTATGCATTATATTAGAGCTATTTTGCATACCAAATATCCTTAAATAACTGATTCCAACATTTAAATAATTTAAATTAACCGTTTTTTAAACTTCAAATCTGAAAATTACTTATTAAATAACTTTATTGAATGAATACACCAAAATTTAACACCAAATTAAACAATAATACAGACACAAACCCATACACAATAAAATTTAATGACACACCAAAAACTAATACTGGTTTTATGTTTCCATTCCATACCCCTGCATTTAATCAATCAAAAAATGGTAATTCAATTCACAATGAAGATCAAAAAGTCAAAGACACTGACATAATCCAAAAGGGAATTGTAAATAAAACTAGTTACCAATTAGTTATGAACAGCCCATCTTCATCATCTTTGAACGAAAAAACTTTAAATGGTATTAATCAAAAAGACTCTTCAAAGAACCAAAAAATTGAAAAGGAAATTGAAGTCTTAAAACAACGTGAAAATGGTTCTTTAGAAACAACTAATATTCAACAAAACATCATTTTAAATGAAAAATATATTTCTGATGGTAATACAATTCCTTTAATAGTCAATTTAACCGACACAAAAAGTACAGTGAATACAAATTCAAATGAAAATTCAAACACTTTTGAGAATAAAAAGTCAACTGAGGAAGTTAAAAGTGCACAAATTAAATTCAATAACTTTCATTTGTATGATGTGATTAATGAAATTAAAAAATTAATCATTTCAATTGAAAAAACATTTGAAAATTCAGTGAAGAGTCTTGGATTAAATTTGGACGAAGTTAAAACAATTGTGGTCGGTGTCATAATATTTATGGTTTTGGGAGCTATTTGTGCATACGGAAATTCAAAACATTCAAATGATACAAATTGAAATAAAAATTAATTAAATCATTATTGATATATTCAATATATAAGCTTTTATTGTCTGATAATTAATTCATATATTTTATACATTTTTAGTAAACATTTTAATACAGTCAAAGGCGTCTATTTGTCGTAATTATAATTGTCGAAGTTGCTTAATTGTCGCACAACTGGCCAATTGTTTTGGTGTACGACAATTAAATATTATGTTCTCGAACTTGTAAATTTTGTTGAATTAAAAACTAAATTTTTTATAAAAAATAAATTTTAATATTAAAAAGAATTTTCTACAAAATCACTCATTTGAGACAAATAGATACTTTTCTGATGGATTCACAACAAATAGACGCCTATGACTGTACATTTTTTAAAAAAGATAAACTACAAATATTCATGTTTAAACAAGTATTTAGAAAAATTAATATTACCTTTTTGTTTAAAAAA